GTCATTGTCCAGCTCTCTGATGCATAACAAGTGATTGCAAAAACCATGGCCTGTATCAGGCGCACCTTTGTCTCCAAAGAGACACTGTTGCTCTTCAGTACTTTAGAGAGGTCCTTAACCGCAGACTTTCCCATCGCAATACGTTTTTTGATTTCCTGGCTGCTGGTGCCAAGAGTGTTGACCGTGGAGCCGAGCAAACCAAAGCTGTGAACAATCTCAATCTCTTCGCCATCCATCCTGATGCTACCAATTGGTCCAGTGGTGAGAATCTTTGTCTTCTTGACATTGAGCCTCAGTCCATACTGAAGGCTGAAGTCCTTGACCCTCTAATTGTAGAGTTGGGGAAAAGTACTGAATATCCCACAGATGCCAAGGAACACATTTGTCCCGGGAGGATGTGCAACCAGAGAGCTGAGAGAGAAGGTTAGATAGACCTTGTCTCCCAGTCACAGGGTGTGATGTCGGGAGAGGCCAGTCCTTTGAAACAGACCTTATGCTGGGACAGATAGAGTTAGCAAATGAGGATGAACCTCAGTGAGATGGGATGACAGTTACTAGAACAACATTGGAGACCCTGACAAAGCATGGGATAGGGCAAGGTGGCTTGGCAACTCAGTAGTGCCAACATTTCAAGCCTTTAGAAAGACATTTTCCCTGGTGGCTTGTTGACTTGGTTTCTATGACCTCTCTTTCCCTTCCAATTTCTCCCATTTGGAGTGGAAAAGTCTACTTTATGCCTACATTACCATTATACTTTGAGACCAATACTGGGCTAGGCTTCACAAGGGTAAAGCGGGATTTTGCCTTAGGAGGATTAAACTTTGATTTAGATAATTCAGAAGATGATATTTTGATGTTAATACTGGAACAGGTTTAGAGTCTAATGGATGACATGATAGGGTAAATGGCTTTGGATGTAAGAGTCTGACGAGTGCTGTGGAATTTCTCCTCCTCCCACCCCAAACATATGTACTGAAAACCTAAGACTTTGTCATCTGTCCCCGTGGTCCTCTTTGGAAGGAGGCTCTCCCTTGTTAATGTGATCATACCACAGAAGGCTGGGTCCTAAACCTAGTCACACCCGAGTTACAAAACAGAACAGACGCATGTGTGAGGAGACCTTCTGGCAGATGCGTCTGCAAATCCAGAAGCCGCATGGATTCCTGGCCACTGAAGCTGGGAGGCTTCCCCAGAGCCACACCGAATCCAGATGCTGGTCTGCTGAACTGTAAGTCACGTTCTCTTCTCTAAAGCCGCACACTCTGGGTAGTTTGTAATCACCAGGTAACTAAGAAACTGAGCTTTCTGAAACTTCTAACAAGTTTAGTTACTCTCAGGTTATATAGACCATATAATAGAGAAGCCAGACCGACAGTGTTCTGTATAGTTAAAAACTTGACTGAGATAGTGAACACCTGTGCGCACACACACACCTGTGTACTTTAACTGAAACAGATGAAGTATGCAGAGCCAATTTAAGTGTTAAGTTTTAATAGTATTCAAATTGCTTACCTCTTAATCAAGCTGTCCTAGCTATTTGGAGGTAGCGACACTAGCTTTGTTTACCTGGGACAGCTGTCTTGTGCTCTGACCTTCCCTTTCAACCCGTTTTAGAAACAAGGAGCCCTTCTGTCTCCTCATTCACTCACTCAGTGCAAAGCAAAGGTTGACCATAGACTTCCAAGGTGGAAAGTGGACTTCTCAGAAAAGGAATCAAAGGAAAAAAGTACTGGTATGACCATAAATAGTTTTATTAAATGTGAAAATACATGGGCATAAAAATAGTACCCATATGTGGAGACCTGTCTAAGACCCACATGGGTTAATTTTAGCTTCCTTTTCTATTAAAACACTAATTGAGGTGGATTAAGTTACTTATGTTGTCTCATTCAACACAAACTACAGTTGTACCATAGGAGTAATAGTTTTATTTATCAAATAGCTCCAGTTTTTACCTCCTCCAATCTCTGCTTCCCACTGCAGGTAAGAGGTTCCATTACAGATAAATGCAATAAACCTATTACTATACAGAAAGCCACGCAGTGGCTAGTTTAACTCTTCAATCATTCAATAAATGAGACCATCCATTATTAAAAGAAAAAATTACCCCATCTATGAACATCATCGTTTAAAATAACAGAATAAACTCTGTCAATAACAAAAAAAAAGGAATGATCTGATTTAAAATAAAGATACATGTTGTTGACAAGTTAACATTTGCCGTCCTCTGTCCTTATAAATGTGAAAGCGTAGACAGTGGTGTTACATGAGCTTCTTCAGTCCCCCCCAGTGACTGTCCTCAGTGGGGTCTTCCTGCCAGACCCGTCTACGGAGCCCGGCCCTGGTAAACCACCAGCTCGAACACAAAGCTGGATAATGAGCCATTTCTAACGGAAGGCACCTTTCCTCCTGGTAAACGTCAAATAAGACCTTTGACACATTTCACGCCTTTAAGGAAAATTGTCCATTCCTGCCATGAATATAAAAGGATGTCAATTTCAAATGTGATTCTATTAGCTTTATATCTACTTGGTTATTAGTAGTATTTTTCATCTTTAAAAAAATCAGATAGTTTTTAGATTCCATTATCAAAGTCCATAAATTTGTTTTCATACTGATATTGAAAAGAGATATTAATACTGACTAAAGAGAAAGGTATTTTTAAAATTGTTATTACATCCAATTCACTTTAGTAAACCAGTGAAATTGTTGTAAGCTTTATTTATGATGAGATGGGCTTTTCTGGTTTCCTTTTTCATGGCAAGAAAGTTTTCAGAATTGGGGGATGAATTGTCTCATAGACTTTTCACCTCATCTGGAGGCTGGCGTGTTTAATACTTTCTGCTATGGAAACTATTCACAAGGTACAGACCAGTCAATGATACTCCCCATGGTGGAGGGAGTGTTGAAGGACTGAATCAGTGAAGGTGAGGAAGAGGTCCCCTCTGAGACCTGACTTTTCATGAAAGATTCACAGGGGTCACTTGGCACCTGCAGCTTATCATTTTCTTCATAAACTGGCAGAAAACAGACTCCAGCGGATTCACTTTCCTCAACAGAATGGACACTTGGCACCGCGGCTTCTCCCCTCTGCTCTGAAAACCACTGTCCGCACACAGCCGTTGACTAAAGGATACTAATCCAGAGAAACTTTGGAATCTTGGTTGTTGCAAATGAAGGGACAAAACTTCTCATGACAGCATGTTGGCTGGGAGCTTGCGTCCAAGGCACGTGTCCAGCCCTTAGGCTCTTGCAGTCACGCCATCTCCCAGGTCCTTGGTGGTCCAGCCCTCAGACACCCAGTGTCACCCATCTCCCAGGTCCTTGGTGTTGGTGGATTTACAGTCCAAAGACAGTACAGGTGAGGTGATACAGTCTTTCGTTCCATGTGAAAATTTTTCCTTTTGAAAACAGACAGAAGCCATCGCTGACACTCTCATGTAATCATGTGCCAGAGAAGCAGATAATGTCATATAATGAGTGAAATCATAAGATTAGAATAGACAAAAATGAATTTGGTTTAAACATTTCCATACCTGCTTGAATTTTTGAACATTAACACAAGATGAAATGTGATGACATTATATTTTGAAAACAATGAAAAAGATTCTCATTCAACTTAACTAGAAAAATTGTTTCTCTCAGTTAAAATAAGTAAAAAAAAATCCTGTTTCAGGATGACTTTTCTCAGTTTGGAGAAAAAGATACTGCTTGGCTGCTGTGAGCATCAGTGGCCCGGAGGCCGCCACAACGGATTCAAGGCTTTATTTATATACATTTACATATATATTTATATATATGACCCTGCACTATTTAAAATGCTTCAGAATGTTCTGAGGCTAAAGTTATGCTCTTGGATTTTAAAATCAGCATCAACAAGTTCCATAAAGGTTCACTGGACCCTCTTGATTAGGGAAGAAAACCAAAAAAAAGGTCCAGTATACTGACTCAAGAGTTAATTTTTTGAAATGTGAGAAAAAGTAGCCCGAGAGAAGATGCACTTAATGAAATGAGAGTGGAAATCTCCTGTACTGTGCAAATCTCCATTTTTCGTGTTTCTTTTTTCACACAGAAGTGTGAGGTCTGTCAGAGGACCCTGTTTATACCTGCAGCAAGCAAGTCCATCAGTGAGGGACTCCCTGCAGCCTGCGAGCGGCCTGGTGGGAGGAGAAGCTGCCTGTCGAGGTGGGAACAGGCTTTGTCTGCTGGCTGGCACATGTGACCAGCATCCTACAGAAAATCTACAGCACAGCTCGGGACTTCTCCAGAAAGAGGCTTCTCAGTAACACCAATGTCGGAAACGGTTTTATGTCTTCTCCTTCACTTAATTTTGCGTGTTTAACACAGAGGGGCCTGTAGGTTCTTACAGTTTAATCCTATGCAGTGGTTTTCAGGATTACTGACAGAAGAAGCATTAAAATATATCCACTAATATTTGGGAACAGGATTCTTCTCCCCTTTTTAATGCCAACCATGTGAATCCCAATAAACATGTAAACACATGCAGATGAAAAGAGGCTCAGTAACTTGCAGGTATTTGCAAATGGCTGGGCTGACTGACCTGAGGACAGAGAGCGCAAGACGTCCTGTCCCCGAATACAGACCTGTGGCCCACCTGTGGCCCACGTCCACGCGGTCCACGGCACTGCCCCACGCCTGTGGGCACCAACATACCACGCGCGTCTGTGAAGAGCAGCTCGGCACGCTCCCGTGTGTGTGAGCACTTGCACAGCAGAGCCCGCTTCTCCAGACCTCCAGAAACGTTCACACACCGCCGTCAGCAACAAGAACGATCCTGTGCTCCCCGGCCCACGCCAGCCCAGCAATCTCAAGTTTAAAATGGGTCAAAACAGATTGTGAACTCTTTGGTTATGGACAACAGAAAGATTTGAATTTTTGTTTTTCTTTAGGATCCTGAAACAAAGTTTGTTTTTAATCTTTAAAAAATAATAATAATTAATAAAAAGGAAAAATTACTGAAGAGCAGAAAAACAGTTGGTTTAATTGAAGTGGAATTTAAATTGAAAGGGTCCGCCTGAGGTGAAGGGATTGAATCCCTGCCACGAGTTCCAGCTTCTGTGGAAAGGGTTACCGCCACCGCCTTGTTGGCTCTCTGCATCCAGAGGGTCTTCTCCGTCATCAAACTTTTTCCTCATTTCTAAAAAAGAAATCAGCAAGTTAAGACCCCGTTTGAAGAGAAGTGTATGCAGGAGCCCTCGGCTTTGCAGGGAGGTGGGCTTCGGATGTGTCTCGGCCCAGCCCCAACCACTGAGATCAAGTCTGTTGACTGCCCCAGCTTTTAGTCTGAACAGAACTACAGAGCACATCTTAGGAGGCAGAATACAATTTCACAGTATGGCAACTGGGTAAATTTCCTTTTCATCATCCCACGTAACTTTAAATAATGAAACATTCATTGTTTATTTTTAAAAATTAGAGAAATTGGCAATAGTGTGGGTGAAAGAGCACTCTGGTGGCCTAGCGGCAAGGAGCTGCATTGCCAACCCAAAGGTTCATGGTTCAAATCCACCAGCTTCTCCATAGGAGAAAGGCATGCGATCTCCGTCCCAACTCAGTGGTATATAACAACATGCAGAAAATGTTAATGAAACAGGAGAATAAATTTAAATGTGTATCACTCACCTACAACTGATAATTATGGTAACAGATTTTAAGGAAATCTTACATTAAATAACAGAATGTGGCGATTTAAGACACTTACTTAAAAAAAAAAAAAAAAGAAGAATGAACTGGGGAGGAGGGTAGAGAAAATAGTGCAACAATGAATGAATGAAAACCCCAAATCTCTGTAAATGTTCATTAAAAGTAATAAAATTTAATAATAAAAAAAGAAAACAAAAAAGACACTTACTAAAAAAGATTAAAAAGGCTAAAAAACTATAGCCTTCAATTGGATTATATCTCAACATCAAGAAAAAAAAACGCCATCCACAAACAAATGGATAGAGCAGCTCTAGTATATTCACACAATGGAATACTATGCTGCATTAAAAAAAAAACAACAAGGAACTCATGCAATATTATTCAAAATGGGTAACCCTGGAGGACATTATGCTAAGTGAAGTATATCAGTCACAAAAGGACAAATACTGCACCATGCCACTGTTGTAAAGTGGGACTGACATCAGGGTTAGGGGGAGACTGACAAAGATGGGATAAATTATGTATACTGCATTGAAACAGATGATGGAGAAAACAGTTTACAAGTGATATATGATGGGGTATTGTGTTCATGACAAGAGTCCAGAATGAAGGCTGCGTAGTGGAGTGCTCGGGGTTGGGGAGGGGGGATTGTATACCAATGAAAGAATTTTACTTTTACTTTTCAAAGAGAAGAGCAAACTGGGGCGGGGGGGGTCGGAAAAATGCAGCAATGAATGAATGAAAATCTAAAGTCTCTGTAAATGTTCATTAAAATTAATTTAAAAAAAGAAAAATCCTCAGCACAGCACCAGTATGCAGCCTCACGATAGATGGAGAGATGGAAAAAGACTGATCCACTATCGACACCCATGGTAGTAGCCATCAAGAAAACAAGGCATAGGGAGCTCTGGTGGCCTAGCGGCAAGACGCTGCAGTGCAATCCCAGAGGTACGCGGTTTAAATCCACCAGATGCTTTGCTGGAGAAGGAGGGGGCAATCTCCTCCTGTACCAGTCAGATCTGATTTGATGGTACACGTAAAAAATAAGACAATAAAAATTTAAAAAAAGAAAAAAAGAAACCAAGGCATGTTGTATTAGGGAACTCTGCTGTCAAGGACCTCGTTAAAGTGCTAACGAGTAATGATGTCAGTTTAAAGACTAAGGTGTGCCTAACTTCGGCCATGTGAGTACGGCATGAAAGCTGGGCAATGACTAAGAAAGACCAAAGAAGAATAAAGGCCTTTGAACTAGGGTGTTCTAGAAGAGTACTCAGTGTCTCATGGACAACCAAAAGAACAAGCAAATCTGTCTGGAAGGCAGAGTAACTTGAGTGCTCCTTAGAGGTAAGGATGGTGAAACACCATCTCACACACTGCGGCCATGTTTTCCGGAGAAGCCCATCCTTGGGAAAGGCCATCATGCTGGAAAAGGCAGACAGAAGATGCCTCAGTGAGATGGACTGGTGGTAACCACAAAAACGAGCGTGAGCATGGCAGGGTGAAGACGATGCAGGCCAGGACGAGGGCCACATCTGTTCTCCTCAGGGCCGCTGTGCGGCGGCGTCAGTTCAATGCCACCTGACAGCAGCAAACTGAAAACAGCATGTATAATACAGCTGATCCTATGTTGGTAAAGACACAGGTCAGGGTCTCTTAGTTCTACGTATGTTCAGAGTTAATTTTGATAAGTTCAACCATGTTAAACATGGGGAGAATTTTCAGTTTTTGCTTTTCATCATTATATTTTTTTCTTACTGGGATTTTGAAATAGGTTTTTACTTAAGTATTACAATAACACTTATTTTTCACCTTCCCTTAAATACACAATTAACCTACATTAAGAAATTACAAGAAAAGACAACTAAAAGAGCAGCAGAGAAAGAAAAGAACTGAACATAATTATCTCAGAAGAGATATTGTACAAATTCACACACCTGAAAGGGATCGGGTAAAAAGAGATTGCCTAGTGACTAAAAAAGATACTCACTTTGCACCCACCAGCTACTCCACAGGAGAAAGATGGGCAGTGTCCAGTAGGATTTACTGCCTCTGACAAACTGCTGGAGGGTCAACTATGGGTCAGTTCTGACTTGAGGGTTGTTGTTGTTATGTGCCATCAAGTCGCCAGCAACTCATAGCGACCCCATGTACAACAGCCCTAAACCCTGCTCTATCCTGTGCCAATCGCATTGCCTCTGATACAACCGCCCCGATTACCCCGTCACTGAATCAATCCACCTCATAGAGGGTCTTCCTCTCCTGCGCTGTCCCTCAACCCTCTCCAAGGACTGGTCCCCCCTTGAGGGTACAACAGTAAAAGTGAATAAAAACCCTACAGGTAAGCACCACAAAGATAAATTGTTAACAGTTTAGCAGGAAGAGAATGCCCTGTGTATAATGTAAGGTGTCACATTTAGCTTTGCATTTTCACTATAGAAGCCTGGTGTATTGCAGTAGTTATGGATTATGTTAAATAGTTACATTTGCATTTAGTCATTGTTAATATCTAATAATAGAAGGCAACAAAAAGGATTTAGTATTAATTTACGGTAAGTATTTCGGCAAAAATTAGGACATAAAAATCTTGAGAATCAAATCTAACCTTAAGATTGTGCAGTTAACAGTCTCATAAAGAAGCCTTGTTCTGTAAGATACTCCTATATATCAACACACGAGGTGGAGAACAGATACAGACACCTCACTGAATTGACTCCTGGAAGGACTGGGACCCATCATGGCACACCGGGCATAATTATATGCCACGTCCCCACGTGGTGCACAGTATCTGGGGTCTTGAAAGCTTAGAGGTCGCTGTCTAAGGTAGAAGTATTGGTCTCTACTCAGTGCAGAGGAAAACAAAAAGAAGGGACCAGAGACTAGACTGGCAGACATTGAAGTACAGGACGAAGAGTCCCCAGCTACCACGACCAACAGCTCTCACGAGGCCACGCCTCAACAGAATGGCCCTCACAGAACGGGAGGAAAGTGTGGAACAGAACCTCAAATCCCTTACAAGCAAAACCAGACTTGTCAGACTGCCTGAGGACAGAGGACTCCCCAAGATACTCTTCAAGCCTTCAACCAAAACAAAGCCGAGGGCACACATGACAGACCGTCTCCCTAAACAATGACAATCACCTCTAAATACCACGTTCCTTAAAGTTACCTATATGAGACCAGACAGTCATCAACTACCGTAAAACTGAGATTGTATGGGAGCAAGGAAACCAGATTTATGGAAACCAAATAACTAGAACGCATTATAAAGAATAACCTGTGTCACTGAATAATTTTTGTAGAAATTGTTGAATGGGAGCCTAAACTGAATACGCCTTCATCAAAAACACAATAAAAAATGTAGAGGGGGAAAGGGTGGCCACAGGCAAGTACTTCCCAGTATTACAGACACCGCAATGCTCTTCTTCCAACAACCCAGAACTGCTGCTCCAAGGCTGTGGACATGAGAAATCAATCACCTGGGAGCTTGGTCACAGTCTCCTGGCCCCGACCCCTTACTGACTGCCTCGGCCAACAACATGCAGTGGATTCCAGGTCATCGGAGACACATGGGGCCCACATTTTATGAAATGCTGACTTATGGTAATTCAGCACTATAATTCTGTATCCAAAATGCAGAAGAGTCTATTTTTCTAAGAAAGGCTTGTGTTCCAATCCAGCCTCTCCTACTACTTAGCAAAATCTTTAACATGAACATGGTCCAGGCTCAAAATCCTCTACCCGTTTCCCCTGTGGCTGAAAACGTTTGGGGATTTCCAATTTTAATACAGTGACCTAGTACACACACTATGCATAAATGCTCAGGAGTGTCTAGGGTCTTGCGCATTCCTGCAGATCTTAAAAGTGAAGTGCCAACCTCCAGATCCCTTTCCCATCAGACCTAAACACTGGTCAAGATGGTCATAAAAGGAGGGAAAGTAAATGAAACGGACTCAAGTGCTGCTTGTAGCACGAGTTTGCATCAAGCAGTAATTTGTATTCACTGGGATTGTCTCCATGACATTCCCGGTACTGAAAGGGTGAGTAAATGAGTGGGCATTATTTGGGGCAGGAAACAGATTGTGCATCTTTCTTGTTTGTTGATTAAAAGTTAAAAAAAAAAGTGAAGTACCAATTACCCTTTTGTTCCAAACTACCTTTCCATAGATCTTTACAGAGCTAATAATCCTGGGGAATGAATAGTCCTGTCACTTGCCATAGCAAGAGGCAGATGTGCTTACGACTATCAAGTGTTTCCCTTTGGTGTAAAGGCAGGCATGCTTCTCCGGGAAACGGGAGCTCCCCAAGCTCAGGGTTCTGTAAGGCAACCAGCCACCTGGCACCGCAGCACCTACCCGGACTTGGAGGGCTCAGGAAATAAGCACATGCTCCTGCTGCTGGCTGTGGTGGACGTCAGAAGCTCCTTTTGTCTCACCCAGGAGTCTGATGTCTTCCAGCCTCCATTAAACTGATGCCTCCTTAATGTTGTCGTACAGTTAGACTCAGACCACAGTTCTTAACAATATACAGGCCGTCCCTGACTGGCGAATCTGTTTTATTCTACTGACTACATTGTGAAGTCCGTTCAATATTAATGCCTTTTATTGTCAGTACCTTTGTTTTGTGTTGTCTGAAATGTCTTTAACCGTGCCCTGTGGGTGGTTCAGGGCAAGGCCTCAGACCTTTTTCCACGGTGCTCCCGCAAACCCTGCAGAATGCACAGGCCCACGCCAGCCTGGGCACGCTTCAGGCCTGCACTGATCAATCTCTTCTAAGTAGGATCTTTGTTTTTGAACACCTGCAAGTGAACATCTGAGACTGATGACATCAACAAATCACACTGCAAATGATAAGATGTATTAAAAAAAAAACACACCACCAAACCACAGTTTGGATCATCCTAGATCAGGGACTGCCTGGATTTCAGAGGTAACTAGATGCCAATTATCCCAACTAATTCATGATCTTCCTTCAAATGCACTCCTCTTTCTGGTTCCGTATCTCAGCGAATGCTACTGTCATCTAACTCAATCACCAGAAGCTCACAGCCATCTTACTGCTAAGTGTCGTCTAGCAGGAACTGACCCACAGCTGACCCTCCAGAGGGTGTTCAGAGGCAGTTAACTGCACGGGAGGAGATTATCCATCGTTCTTCTCTGGAGCAGCTGGTGGATGTGAACCACATACACCGCTGGGCTGGCAGTGCAGCACCTTACTACCAGGCCACCTGAGCTCCCTCAAAACCATCTACAGCTTTGGAACTTCTTACTGTTGAACTGTGCTCCTCCGTGACAACTCATTCTCAGTATCCTTTACAAAGTTCTTAGAGGCTCAACCTCCTCGATCAGTAACACAGTCCCAGCTCCCCTGCCCTGGTCCCGGTTACGCATGCTTCTGTCTACAGACCGCACTAGCCTCTGAAAGAGCTTCACTGCTCCCACTCCCAGTCCTGCCCCTCAGTGCACCTCTGTGCTGCTGTCAGACTAACTCACCTAAAGTCCAACCTCAGCTCGGAAACTCATCCCTCACAAAGAAATCCAGCCGCCTTGAGGTTGCTGTGTGAAGTTCATGGCCTCAGCTCTTCCCATCTCCTCTCCTGTCTGCTGCCTCTCCTGCTGTCACATGTGCACCCTTCTCCTCCGGTCCCCTGAGAAGCCGCAGTTTTCACTGAAGTGTGTGCCTCTGTCACTCTGCCATTGTCAGCCCCTCACCTGGCGCTCAGATCCTTGTCCCTTAAGACTCAGCTCAAAAGTCAACCTCTGATGATGCCTGGCCCCTTGTTAGCGACAGCTGCCCCACATCTGTTCTGCACGGCACACACAGCTTCTTTCAGGTACGAAAACTGTCTGACGGATGTTGTCGACACTGGAGTGGGTGTTGGGGAGGGTGTGTGTGACAGTATGTATCCTGCTGTCCGTCCGCCTTCCACACTACACTATAAAGGATCTTATCACTTCACTTTCACAGTATAAGCAGGCATCCAGAACAGATTTGCCAAATGGATATAAAGCCTGATTTCCTTCTACTTTGCTGAATTAGTTTAGCTCAAGCCATAGTTTCTGTTCCTATCACTGAGGCAAGCCACCAAGCAGCAAAAGACAGCAGCTTACCACGATCTGCAAATCTGAGCACTGGCCAGCACAGCCTAATTCCTCTGCCTTAGTCTCTCCTGCCCAGGCCATGTGTGTGTCAGGCAGGGTGGCCAGGCCCTGGCCACGAGGCTCACCTCCCACCACTGCACACTGCAGCCTCACATCCAGGGCTCCTCAGTCAAACCCCTAAGCCAGGTAAACAGGAATCATCACTGACCTGGGGATTTAGAAAAACAGGACATCTCTCTCTCTCTCAGGACATCTCTCTCTCTCTCTCAGGACATATCTCTCTCTGTCTGCCTGTCTCTCTCTCTCTCTCATTGAAGTAAGAAAGTTTCACAGACAGGCCGAGTTCCGGTTCCTGAGTGGGCCTCCAGACCACCAACTCCCACCATCATGGGTTCTGGACTGGGCTAGAGGGACACGCTCGACGGCATCGCCATGACCAGCTCCTCTGTTTTAAGAGGACAGAAGCACACTCGGTCTCCCACCGTCATCCAGCTGGGACCCACACATCACTGGCCCACCCCCAGGTTTCCGAGCCCGGAAATCACATGGAAAGACACTGTCCATCTTTCTGCAGGGGCTGCTGACGGATGCAGACTGACTGCCACAGGCACCGACTCTGGGTGGGCAGTGAGGCTCCCTGCGGGCCAGGCCACCGGAGGCCCCTGACACACGTGAAGGACAACGAACCTGGGTCAGAGAGGACTTCTTTAGCGGCAGCTATGTCGATGAACTTTTTCTCAGCTTTCTTCTTTTCTTCTTCATTCTGGAAGTTATCTGGATGCCACTGCATTGCTAATTTTCTGTATGCTTTGATAATTTCTTGCTTTTTGGCATTTCTGAAGGGGATAAAATAATAATCATTACTTAAAGAGATATCCAGTATCCTACAACAGTCTCCGTGAAGACCCAGGCAGCACCTAAACCGCTGGTTCCACCCAACCCTCTCCATGGTGTCACACACCCAACATTCAACATAAAGTGTTGATCATCACTGAAACTGGCAGGGCTTCTGAGACACTCAGCTCTAAGGTGGGCATCTGGGTATTAATTAAAGTATTTTAAGCTGCCGTTTAGATTAAAGAAAACCATAAAAATACATGAAACAATTTCTAAACTTTCTGGATTTCCAAGCTATTACAGCTAAACTCTTGGCATGGACAGCCATTTTCTTTTTTGAAAATACTCTGACTTCAATTTGCAATTTGCTTTTGGATTAGTCTACTTAATAAAAACAAAGTGTCGGGCTTTTTATTGGAAAAACTGTGTTCCATATGATTAGGGATCTTCCAAAAACACATATGCTGAATAAGTAAAAACCTCTATATTCTTAACTCTGAAAGTGTTACTTTACTTTTAAACCTAAAGAAAGGTGTAGGCTTATTATTTTGGGTTTTGGGGTTTTTTTTTCACTCATCCTCTCATATGCATTTACCCTTGTCGAAAAAGCTTACTTCCATCTTAGTATTTCAGGCCTTGGTTCATAGGGCCGCTAAGAATCATGCTCAACTCGAAGGCACTCACCACAACCACCACCACCTCAGTGTTATTCTTAAAATCTAGGTTTTACCAGAATTAAGGTTACATAGAGAAGTGTACTCGGGGTGGGGGGGGGAAGGGAGGGGGAATTGTATACCAATGAAGGGATTTTTTTTCTTTTTCTTTTCAGAGAGGGGAGCAAACTGGTGGGGAGGGGTGGGCAGGGAGAAAAGTGTGGCAATGAATAAATGGAAATCCAAAATGTAAATGTTTATTAAAATTAATAAAAAAAATGGAAAAGTCAATATTCAAAGTATCTTCAGTGATATTAATTAACCTTTTGAGGCAGAAAGCAATCAAATATCTTCTTAATATTCCTTTTGAGGCTGAAAATATCAGAATTCTCAAGAAAAGGATGTTTTATCTCCTAACAAAGAAGTAAAAGATTTAACCGAAGAAGCAGAGACTTTAATACCAGTTTTGGTTTTTTTCATGAGAGTCTGGACCAAAATGTAAACCTTGTTTAAATTTCCGAATCTCATTCAGAAAACATTAAAGAATCTCAAAAAAGAAAAAAAATAAATCTAGGTTTATGACTTAGTCATGCTACCATATCTCTCTGTCACCACCTACTAATTACATCACTGCATTACTGGTCTGTAACAATGAAATTTGGATGAAATATATAAAAATAGCATCATCATCTCCTCAAAAAGCTGATCACAGATATCCCACATGACCTAGCTGTAGCACTGCTAGGAATATAACCAAGGAACTTAGAACTGAGACACAAACGGAGGTCTGTACACCTACGTTCACAGCAACAGCCCAAATGTCCCTTAACAAATGAATGGAATAAAAAATTGTGGTCCATGCCCATAAAGGAATACTACGCAGCACTAAGGAGCAATGATTTTGTAAAATATTATATAACATGAGAGAGTCTAAAGAACATTATGCTGAGTGAACTAACTCAGTCTCATTAAGGACAAATATTGCCTAAGACCAGTAACTATAAAAACAGAAGGATGACTAGTAAGATGTGTTATAATGGCCAAAAGGGAAAGGGGAGAAGGAACAGAAAAGTGGAGGGTAGATATCACTGGGTGACAGAGTTGAGTTGGTGGATTAGGGGGAAGGTGAGGGAATGGAGAAGAGTCACTTGGGTCTTGAGAAGATGGTGTAATTATGGGCACACATCAATGGTAATTAATTACATGAATGACTGTATGAAACACAATGTAAATGAATGATTATGAAAAGCAAGCTGAAAAACCAGCCTCTTGATGTTAAAAACTGTTAGGATCTAATCTGTATGTCAGAAGTTGTATAGATAAAGGAAATGAATCAACAGAGAAACAAAGGCCACTGACTGGCTTTAAAATAAAGCTGATTAAGAATGACAATGTGAATTTTAAATACAAGTCAAGAATTCACCTTTTTACTCCCAAGATTTTGTAATAATCTCTCTTCTGTGACTGTTTGAGGAGTCGCTGCGCCTTCTCCAGGCCTTCCCGAATCTCCTGGTCGTTGTCATTTTGTTCCTGAGCACTTTCATAATCCTGAATAGCTGTCAAGATACGTTAGATAACGCTGTTAGGGGCAGTCAGAGCTAAACTAAGGTCGTTTATTCAACAGACTCACATCTGTCTGCCTGTCTGCCTGCCATCCTCCCACCTCATCTTCCCCACACTTCCAAGGTATTTTAATAAAAATGGACAACAAGTCTTAACACCACTAAGATATAGAAAAGTAAAAAGTAATCTCCATGTGCTGCTTCAGGTCCACAGCTCAGAAGATCTAGACATTTAGAGAAGAAGCAAAAGGAACTGGTGGCCACCAGGATAAACAGTCACTCGTGGTTTCAACAGCTACATATCTATTGCATAACATCCACCATACCTTCTGTGATATACAGGACTTGAGACTGTGTGCGACCATCATGCTACAAGCTTAGCTAACAGACTCGTCTATGTGGAAACAGCAGCATTCACCTTTAAGGTGCTGTGGTCATTGTACTCGCTGTTACCTCAAAGGCCATCCACGGTCCACACCTGCCAGCTAGTCTGCAGGAGAAAGCGTGGCTGGCTGTTTCCGTGACAGCTGCACCTTGGAAACACCGGGGTTATTCATCACTGTCCTACAATGAAGCTAATCAAAACTGACCCTCCAAGGGCACCCGGTTTGGGGTCTGTTTGTTTTCTTGTTTAATAACTTTCTGTTTCACTTTCAGATTGCTTTCTTTCCTTGCCTCCTGTCGCTGCTCTCACTGTCACTGGTTGACCACCACCTTGGTAGTCATGACGTACTTTACCTGGTGAGAGCTTCAAAAGAAAATTAAACAGGCCACACACGCGGGCCTCAAGAGACCACAATACACAAGACGGGATGCTGATGACGGCGAGCTGAAGCCTATACTGTTGACAGGAAACTTGATGAAAGTTCACATTGCAGTCATAACAGAAAGTGCCGTCTGGCACATATATAACCCAGTGATACAGGCGTTTATGATGATGACCACGGGGCAAAGGGACACAGGCTGACGTCCAGGGAAGACCAGGCACACGACTGCGAGGATCCTCTCCCACCAGTCACACAGGACAGACTTAACCCCTCCAACAATAAATTGTTGGACACACGTGAAGGACTGTCGACAAAGGGAGCTGATTAACTCTGGCAATAGCTAACTGGGGTGGGGGATATGGGTTTAGCCTGGGTGGATTCAGGTGAGCGGGCAGCATAACAAATTTAGTGAGCCTGAACACAGACACATGAACTGAGCCCTTAGTGACCCCTCGTCCATCTCCAGGAGGAGCGCCCTCCTATCAAGGTTGTGAGCTCAGGGTCAGGCCCCACGTAGACAACTCAGTGCTGTATTTCACAAGGCCTGTCACCGCAAACAGTTTGGAAAAGCACAAGAGGGTCTAAACCATGTGCTATGCACAAGAGTGATCAAGAAAAGTCAACCAAGTCCCCAAAAGTAAAGTGAAGGGACAGACAGAAAACCCATCAACACTGCAAGGGAGAAAGAGCCTCCAAACTTTTACCCTCACTGTCTACTTTCTGCCTCTTTATAGGGATATTAAATATTAAAATCACATACAGAAACATTACCATGACCCAAGCCACAGAGCCCTGGCCCTGACCCTGAGCCCACAACCTTGACAGGATGGTGCTCCTCCTGGAGAGCTGGATGATGGGTCACTAGGAGCTCGGTTCATTAACTAAGGTCCTTACAGCAGCTCACAGGAAACGGTTTCAGTTACGTCAGCTTGAACAAAGTGGGTCATGCAGCAAGCCTGAAACCACTAACAGCATGGAGATCACGGAGCCTCGTTTATTTTTAGGTATACAGAATATATATGCATGCTATACACACACACACACACACACACACACACTCTCTCTCTCTCTCTCTCTCTCTCAGATCGCTGGTGGCATCGTGGTAAGAAGCTGCTGCAATCCCAAAGGCATGTGGTTCAAATCCTCCATCTGCTTAAAAGGAACTAGATGGGCCTTCTC